AAAAAGTAAATCAGAGCTAAAAAAGTGTAAAAACGCAGGCAAATTTGCCTGTATTCTACTACAATCTAAGGGATATTATTCTTATTTGGAGTTGGAAAAATTGCTTTATAAAATTTAAAATAGAATTGAATATAGATCGTTTTTGCTCTTTTTTTTAATTTATAATTCTCAGAATTGAGAAATTTGTTTGATTCAGCAAGATAAGATAATGTAGAGATATTCTGAAATTTCATCATATTGCTTATTTGGTTTCTATATTTATATGTTAGGATAACGAATGATAAATTAAAATACAATTTGAAGATCAGAATTTGGGATTTGTTTGTAAACTTTCTAACTTTTAATTGGGGGAAACAATTATTATGTATAAAATAAATTTCTTGAACTTGATCATCTTTATGAATTTTTTTATAGGGATTAAAATTGGATTTAAATAAATACATAATTATTAGGTCTAAGTGATGACTAAACATAAACATAGAATCAATAAAGATTTGGTTTCTAGTTAAATCAAAAATTTTTTTTGGAGATATTAAGCAAAAAAGAAACTGAAAGCCTGTTATTATTAGAAATTGCAGGCTTAAATTTATTGACATTGTTATCGTTATTGATAATTTTTCGAAATAATAATGCGATAGCAATATTTATAATGGAAAGAATAAATAACTTTAGATTAAATACTGCAATGAATATTGCAATAGTTGATAAAAGAATCAATATGAGTAAAACAAATGAGTAAAGAATCCCTTTAGCGATTCTTCATAAAAGATTCAGAGTTAAATAAATAAAATATTCTGATAACATTTTGATTAAAATTGATTAGGAGCTAAATGTTTTCATGTTCCTTTTAATATAGTTTGTCGTAAATGAGCTTGTTCAAATAAGGAGATAATTCATTTATATTTGTTTTTACATTATCTTTGCCGTAGTTATTTGGATTACCTATTTTACAAAACATCAAAATGAAACTCCGAATTGTAAAGCTAACATTAAGATGTGCGATATAAAATCTTAATATTAAACTTTAATAAAATGTTGATCATATATGTTCTGTTATCCAAATAAAATAGTATATGCATTTAAATACATTAATATTTTATATTTTAAAGAGAATTAAAGGGCTGTATAAAATTAGCTACTATTCTTAGATTCGTTCGGAAATTTATTGTTTAAAAACTGTAAATAAAGGTTTTTAAAATGAACTCTTAAAGAAATACAAGAACAAGGATAATTATTAAAAAGAGTCCAAACCCTTCAAAAAATGCAATAAATATAAGGTTTCATCTTTACGATTTTTATAAATCAAACAATTCTCATTTGATATTGAATAAATCCAAGTACTCCAACACTTATAAAGAATGGAATTGGAAAGTAATCCTAATTCTGGCATTTATTCTTATTCTTGAATTTTTATTTATTTATTTGTAAGTAGGTTTTTATTTGCTCTTTCCATCATTTGAAGCTATTATAGCAAATTTGTACTGATTTATTATTAATTTACTAGAGTAAAAAAAAAAAAAAATCACACTATTCATATTTATAGAGCTAATTGTACATGAATATTTAAACCAAGAAAGTGGTTATTTTTTAGTAAATTGGTTTTAAATAACACATTTAATATATGAGTTTTATTTTCCTGTATTATAGATAAAACGTATTGACAATTTTTTGGTAAATTGGTTTTAAATAACTCTTTTAATATATGAGTTTTATTTTACTGTGTTATAGATAAAATGTATTGACAATTTTTGGGTAAGAATTTTGTTAACTGTTAATCATAGTGATAGGCCTACAGTATTGCTATGCAGAATAAGTTTCACAACATAATCATTATATATACATGCATATTTACTGTACTTCAAAGATCTACAGAAATTTTCTCATTCATTTCTTGAATGATAAATTTATAAAAAATAAAAAAATTTTGACTGAAATTAATCTTTAGCTCATTCCTTTGAAGTAAGTATTTAGAAATGAATTTGATTCATTCTTTATATGTCTGAAAAAAATTTTCAATTTTTTAAAGTATGAGTGATAGTGATATAATTATGGATGATAATCCGTTGAACAAAGATAGCTCTAAAAAGCGAAAAAGTAATAAAGAATATATAGAAACTCAATTAAAAGCTTATATTTCAAGGCTAAAATCGGATAATATTCCAATTGACTTTGGCTCTGAACCAAAATCAACTGATCACAAACAATGGTCGACTTATTTTAAAAAAGTAAAACAGAATTTAGAAGAAATGAAGCATAATGCTGAATGGGCTTATGTAGGTGCATTGATTATTCAAACGCACAAGATGATGCAAATATCAAAAAATAAGACTTTTAAAGATGATGACAAGCACAAAAAGGATTTAATGACAATTCTAACAAATTCAATCCTGGATAATATATCTGCTACTCAAGCTGGTCGATGCAAACAGGTTTATAATCATATCACTGATTTAATATCAAAATTAGAAAAGCAGGAAATTCTTTTAGAGATTTGGTATCCTTTATTAAACAAAGCTGGTATCACCTTTTGTTTTCTACATGATTCAAATTTCAAAACAAAAAAAATTTTGAACTCTATGAAGAGTTTATTAATCTATTGGTTTCTGAATATAAGAATAGAGCTCTAACTAAGACCACACAAATTTAATGTTTTGGTTTTCATAACATGGGTCTTTTAAATAGACCGACTTTTTTGAAATTTTGGCTAGCTGAGTTATGAAAACAATTAATCAATTTTGCATGGACTAAATAAGTTTCAAGTTTTAAATTTTTAATTTATATTATCATATGTTTATTAATAATTCATAAGCTTATTCCTTCATTTCAAAGCATATCTATAGATGTTAATTTTTAAGCTAAAATATAAAATTTTCTCTTAATTTAATATTTAAGCTCAGATTAAGACTT